TGAGTGTCTGTGAGTCTGTCTGACTGCGCGTCTGAGTGTCTGTGTGTCTGAGTGTCTGTGTGTCTGTGTGCGAGTGTGTCTGTGTGTCTGAGTGTCTGTGTCTGAGTGTCTGTGTGTGTGTGTCTCTGAGTGTCTGTGAGTCTGTCTGACTGCGTGTCTGAGTGTCTGACTGCATGTTTGTCTGACTATCTGAGCGTCTGTGTGTGTCTGTGTGTGTGTCTGATTGACTGCCTACATGTCTATCTGAATGTCTGTGTATCTGTCTGACTGTCTGCGTGTCTGATTATCTGACTGAGTGACTGTGTATCTTTTTGACTGTCTGACTATCTGACTGAGTTTCTGTGTGTGTGTCTGTCTATCTACGTGTCTGATTATCTGACTGTCTGAGTGTCTGACTGTGTGAGTGTTTGACTATCTACCTGTCTGCGTGTCTGACTATCTGACTATCTGTGTGTCTGACTATGTGTGTGTCTGTCTGACTATCTGACTGTCTAAGTGTCTGTCTGTCTGCACGTCTGAGTGTCTGACTGTATGTGTGTCTGACTGTCTGCGTGTTTGTGTGTCTGTCTGTCTGTCTACGTGTCTGACTATCTGACTGTCTTTGAGTATCTGCCTGTCTGCCTGTGTGTCTATCTGTCTGTGTCTGTCTTTGAGTGTCTGTCTGTCTGCCTGTCTGTCTGTCTGTCTGTGTGTCTGTCTAACTGTCTGCCTGTCTGTCTGTGTGTCTGTTTGCCTGTCTGTCTGTGTATCTGCCTATCTGTGTGTCTGTCTGTCTGCGTGTCTGACTGTCTGCCTGTCTGTCTGTGTGTCTGTTTGCCTGTCTGTCTGTGTGTCTATCTGCCTGTCTGTGTGTCTGTCTGTCTGCCTGTCTGTCTGTGTGTCTGACTGTCTGCCTGTCTGTGTGACTGTCGGCATGTCTGACTATCTGTCTCTGAGTGTCTGTCTGTCTGCCTGTCTGTCTGTGTGTCTGTCTGACTGTGTGTCTGTCTCACTGTCTGTGTGTCTGACTATCTGTCTTTGAGTGTCTGTCTGATTGTCTGCCTGTCTGTGTGGCTGTCTGACTGTCTGTGTGTCTGTCTGACTGTCTGCCTGTCTCATTGTGCATGTGCTGGGCAGCAGGAGAACTGAACAAGCCAAACCCAGCCTGGGGAAATCCTAGAACAGTCCATGGAGAGCTCTCCCTGTTTCACATTAGAAG